AGGAGGCTTGTTACAGCCCAGAGTCGCCAAAAGAGTTATGCCGACCGTAGGAGGAGGCATTTGGCGTTCGAGGTAGGTGATCATGTCTTCTTGAAAATATCACCTAGGCGAGGTTTGATGAGGTTTTGGAAGAGTGGGAAGTTATCCCCTCGGTTTATTGGTCCCTTTGAGATCCTTGAGAGGATTGGGGAGGATGCTTATCGTTTGGCTTTGCCACCGCAACTGTTCGGGGTTCATGATGTCTTTCATGTGAGTATGCTTCGAAAGTATGAGCCGGATCCATCGCATGTGTTAGATTGGACCGATTTAAAGGTAGATGAGGATGTCTTGTATGAGGAGAGACCGGTTCGGGTCTTGGATAGACGGGATCAAGTCCTGCGTGGCAAGACCATCCCTTTGGTGAAGGTTTTATGGAAACATCACGGAGTGGAAGAAGCCACTTGGGAACGTGAGTTGGAGGTCCGCAAGAAATATCCGGACTTGTTCATTGATGAGTAATCTTGTATTTAAATTTTGTAATGTTGTTGGACTTAAGAGCTTTATATATGTCTTGAGTCGTAAAACATTGGTAATGTTTTGGTTTAATGGAATTATGTTGTAGAACTTACCTTGATATGGGAGTTGATTATGATATTGCATATGTTGGCTATATTGTAGAATTGGAATTGTATCATGTATATTGATTATGATATGAACTGTGAACCATGTATGTTGGAAATGGTTGGAAATGGAAGAAAATTGCATGTTGATAATGCACTTGTAATATATGTTGTGAAATGCCTCTTGAAAAGAGATGGAATTGACCGGTAATGGGTCGAAATGCTTAATGGAGAAAACCTGTTTTTGAAAAAAAAAACTTGTGTTTAATTTCGGGGACGAAATTCTTTAAGGGGGGGAGGTTATAGCGATCCCGATTGTCCCTTTACTGTTCTGTTATATTCCAGACTCGGTTCCGTGAAGTTGGTAGTGGTATCTATCTTGTTGTTGTCCTTTAATTCCACTTGATTGAGTTTTAGGATGTTTTGAGCAGGGTTGTTACAGGTTAGTTAGGCCTTGGTTTCAATTCCTTGTTGTTCAGTTTTTAGGCGATCCGCTCGAACGGGTCTTCTTGCGCTCAAGCGGGGATTGCACACCTCCAGTATTTCGTGTTCCTGCAAAACTTCTGCAGATGTGATTTTTACGCTCGAGCGGGTTTGTTTACGCTCGAGTGGGTAGTACCTTCTGGGTATAAGTTCTGGGAGGGGGAAATCTACGCTCGAGCAGACTGGTTTTCGCGCTCGAGCGGAAGTGCTTTATTCTTGTGTCTTGGCGCTCGAGCGGGACTTATTGCGCTCGAGCGTGTCCAGATTTTTGTTCTTGGCACTCGAGCGTTGTGTTCTCCGCTCGAGCGGGTCATACGTATATGAGTTGTCCGCTGGGTGATTTTAAATTGCTTTTTGCTTTTCTTTCTCTCTCCTACTTTTTCTAAAACCCATTTTTGAGAGCCTCTCTCTAGAAACTCCCTTCTCTCTAGGGTTTGATCTAGTTAGAGTGTCCTTCTTCTCTTCGGCCTTTGTAAAAGTTGTGTTGATCGTCGAGGGCGGTGTTTTGATCCGAAAATCTTGGTCTTTGGAGCACTTTGGTTTTGGTCTCTTCTCCATCCGAGCTCTAACTTCAAGGTAGGGATATCCTACTCCTCTTTATGAGCTTTGTCTTTAAATTTTTGCGTTTTGATATGTTAGGGGTTGTTGGGTAATTTTGAGAGAGTTTGGGCCTTTGTGTAATTTTATGAAAGTTGGGGTTTTTATTTATATAAAACCTAAATACATGTTTGGCATGGAAAAGTGAAATTAATGTTGAAACATTAATGAAAATGGAACCTAAGGGTTGTAATATGGAAAATGCCCTAATTACATTGATTGATTAATTTGTATGATTAATTGTTGGAAATGAGGGATTGAATTGAGAATGTGGAAATTAGAAAGGGAAGGGGTTAATGGGTGTAGTTGGATTATTTATCGCTCACCTGGTTGAAATGTTGATTATGTATCCATTGTTGCATTTATTTTCTATGTAGAAATAACTGCTTTGGGCTATCGGTGGAGGATAGTCTTAATTGTTGTAGACAATGCATGATGATTGGGCAAACTAAAACTAATCACTGGAAGGTGTCATTGAGTATGACGGTTGAAAGAATACATTAAATTTATGTGTTGTGTGATGATGTGTATAATTATTGTTTATATGCATTGTGTTGTGTTGGAGGAGATAGGGGATGTACTCCACGGTTTAGGGGAAGATAGGGGATGGACCTCTAAACCGGATGTTGTTGGGAGGAGATAGGGGATGGACTCCATAGATAGAGCTCATATGCTTATCTATTAACGTGTTGACAGATCTCATATGCTTGTCTTTGGAAGTGTGATAGTGCTCTTATGCATATCTATAGAAGTGATGATATAGCTTGTATGCTTATCTGTTGGTGTGTGATATAGCTAGTATGCTTATCTATTATGAAATGGGAAAGTGTTTAATATGAGTTACTGTCTCATATAAGTTGTTTGGCCAGGTTTCTGAGCCATGGTTATAAATTGAGAATTGAAAAGAATTGGAAAATGGATTGTAACATGGACTTGTATGTCATGAAACTGTAAAGTGTGATAAGGGAAAGTATCAGTGTTGGCCATCTATCAACTGCTAATCTTTTAGTCATTGTTCATATTTGGTTTAGTGTATTTCTACTGGGCTGTGGCTCACTCTATATAGGAACATCATTTTCAGGTACAGGTAGCATGCCACCTCCAAGGACATAGCTTGGGAGGTTAGAGGCGGACACACTTTTGTTGTCTTATTTCTTTTGATGTATTACATGTAAATTCAAGCCAAGGGCTTAATATGTAATTGAGTTAGTACTCTCTTTTGTAACCAAGTGTTAACTTGGAAAACTGTAAGCCCGTGGGGCATTTGCTTTTGTTGTTAACATGTAATACCTTTTGGTAATGGAACTCCGATGAATAGGAGGAAATGGAACTTTTATACATCAATGCATGTCTATATTGATGGGTTTATTGTTATTATTTCGAGAGCGTTACATTCGTACATTTTACGTTTTTATGAATAATTTTATGGATACTTTTTATGTATGATTTTATGGATGCGTGTTTGATTTATGAATTTTTTTATGAATGCTTCAAGGAAAAAGAAAATTTTTAAATGTATAGCGACAGGGGCATAGACAACTCTATTGTAGTTTGGCAACATGGCATTAGAATAATCTCATTTGTATAACAATGTATCAGTGAACATGTACTTCACAAGTGGCTCAAATTAATTTCTTGTTATCATCTAATTGGACGGCAACATAATACTAGGGAAAAAAATATTGTCCGGTAACATGACAGTAGAGTAATGCAAATTAATTAGCGTTGTATTACTGAACAGGCCCACCACAATTAAAAAATCATTGTTTGGAAGAAAAGTATCTCTGTAAATGTATAGCAACAAGATGCTAGAGAGATCTATTTTTTCCGACAGTATAACACCGGAATAATGTAAATTGTTTAGCACCGTATTACTAAAATTAGTGGTGTAAAGAGATGAAATAGTTAATTTAGGGTTAGTTTTGGTAATGTATTGGGGGTGTAATGAGAATTACATTTTTTTTAGTGGTATAATGAGATGGACGGTATAAAGATATTAAATAGTGGTGTAAGTAGAATCACCCTAAAAAAATTGATAAAATCATTCATAAAGCATCGATTCATCTTGTATTTCTTTCCTTTGACACTGTCCTTTCTGTAAGAAAATTTTGCATAGCAAGGTTCGCCAAACTTGTCGTGGTAGTGCTACTTCTGCAAAGTTCGATCATTGTATCCTGGAAGATGCACATCCAATAAAAACTCGTGAGCACCGTAACAAGAGACGAATTTGTCTTAAAAAAAATTATGTCCAACACAAGCCTCGATTAAACTATTTTTGATTTCAGATTTTTACAATCTGTTTATAACTTTTTTACTTCTCTGTAAGTATTTCTGATTCTCTATGTATATGGTTTGGTTTGGTTTGGTTTAGTTTGATTTTACCCAAACAATTTACGTTACATTCAACTTATATTTTTTTTATATAATTTGATAATATATTTAGTACAATAATTACATATTTCACACCGTACACATAAGGAATTATTCCAACAAATAATAATAATTCAAGGCTGAGCAGTACATTTGGAAAACTACATATGCAATCAATTGTCATTGAAACATATCATGCAATGGCCTTTTGAGGGGGAAAAAGAAATAGATAAAAGTGAAAGGTAAGTATCAAATTGCAAATTGAATCATGAATCGTTTAGGATAAAATAGTGAGTTGTAAATTGCATTGAATAGTGAAAGGTAAGATTCATTTTGTTTAATATAACATATAATTTTCTAAATGAATATACATATGAAAATACAGTGTTTAAAATGAAATAATATCAATATAAATAAATTATATATTTGCAAATATATAACACCATGTATATCAATATAACCAGTTTCCTCAAAAAACAAATATATCTATATAACTAATTGCCCTATTTTTGTGTCTTGATAGAGATGTGAGAAGGGCAATCATTTCAATACATTATGTAAACAAAAACAAAGCTAAATCGCAATTGTGAATTACGATTTACTCAATTTTCAATTCAACAGCACACTCAATTTCCAATTCTATAGCACGATTCAAATCATTTTGATTGAAACTCATATTAAATCGTGTGAATTTTATTGTGAATTGTACAATTCTGACAATATACTAGTTGGAACATGTAGAAGCTGGGTCAACAGAATAATTCATCAATTACAACGAAATACAATATCCATTTCCAAGCAATTGTAGCATTGTAAGCGAAGGAATTCCTGAGTGATAACTGAGGTTACAATTTACCTGGTTGACTCTGCTAGCTGGTACTATTGGTGCTGCATGCCCTGTTGGTGCTGGTGGCAAGATGAGCTCCTCCATCCAGATCAGGATGAAATCACCTTTGTCTCCATGCCCACGTCAACTTCCAAAGCATCGAGGTCTGCATCACAACATTGAAAAGGAGCAATGAAAACGAAAAAAAAAAAAAGAAGCACCCAATTTAGTCTCCAATGAATTGGGGGGGTCGGGGAGGGATAGATTGGGTACAGACCTAATCTACGGCAAAACATATCCAAAATTATGTTTTGCCACCAGTAATGCAACTTTGTTACAGACACTTGGGCTGGTAAGGAGGCAAACTTGGCTGATATAAACTACTTTCCTTCTACATATATGACCAACATGTCCTAGAATTAAACTGTAGGGGTTACTACCCCTAACCCCCTGGCAAGCCAAGTTAAAAGAAATTTTTGTAGCACATTTTTCTTTACCTAATGATATTACACATTTTTTTTTTCTTCTTCAAAGAAGAATATATACAAATCCAATGACATCTTTTGTACCCCATGAAAAGTATGAAGCTGGTAGGGCAAACAACATTACTTACATTTCTGGTAACAAACCAGGTAGCATATTTCCTCTTCCACAAAGAAGTTTATAATACAATATATGAGCTTACCACCCATTAGTTCTTCCTCATCAATGACTGTGATCAGGTACATCATAGCTTCTACCAAGAGACTCTTGAATTTCATTGCTCACATCCATCAAGGTCCATTGCATCTCATCTTGCAAGTTCTACAGATAATCAAGAATCAAGCATTAAGAATTTCCAATAATAGGCACAATGGAAGTGAAGGAATACAATAAAAAAATCATATACAAACAACTATGTCTTGAATCTTCAGAGTCTTCGTCATTTTTTTTCAACTTTTTGTTTGCCGATTTCAAAGCTGACATCTGGAAAGAATGCAACAAGATTAGTTGCGGCAAAATAAAGTCAAAACTAATTGCATTTGATTCACTAAAAAGTGCCTCCAGGGCATCCATTTCCTGGTAAACCAAAATAGACATAAATATGAAGCATGAGGGAATCTACGACACAGGTCGACCACCCATTTTAGAAAGAATTTCCACCCTAGAGACAAATGGTAGTCCTCTACTTCTCACAAGGTGCAGCAGGTTCCAATCAATGTACAGAACAAGCTCCTCCTGAAATCCCTTGAACCATGCCCCTTGGGGTGCTGCCAAGAAAAAGAATAATCTTATGGTGAATATAGTGTAGACCCATAATAGCCATACTATATGTAGCACAGTGAATCTTATATAAAAGTTGAAACATTATCATTAGTCAAGACCTATATTACATAGACTCTTCAAAATGAATCAAATACCCATGTCAGACATCCAACACTTGGACAAGGGTGTGGGATGTGTCCGATATATCGGACACTAATTATATATTTGTATTTAACACTATCTTATATGTATATACTGTTGTCTAATTTCTATAGAGAGTAAAATATCTTTTTGACACTGTATGTCACATATAACATCATTTTATATCATATGAAAAATTAAAAACATAAAAATACAACCACTTTTTGCCGAGTCTATGTAACCTTAAATTTGAGTTTGATAGGTCCAAACTCTAGATACGCACACGTACTTGACACCCTTACCTGAGGCCATGTAACATAGGTCAAGGCAGCCTAGTCATGTGAGCCATGTTGGAAAAAGACCAATAAAAAATCTTTTGATGTCATGGCCCCTTTAAGAATACAAGAGGACATAGGATATAGGAATTAAACCTTTCTAATAGGAAACTAAACCCCATGAATCTTAATACTTTCTTTCCAGATACAGGTGTCTCCCATATAGTCCCACTCACAGGCCCAAATTTTAATTGCATTTAATTAGGCTATGCTGATGTGCATGTCTCCCATATAGCCAAAGGCACGCTGTCCATGAACATCTGACATAATGACATTTCAAAAACCAGAAATCATAAGAATCAGAATGCAGAATTTTCCACTAATTCCTTATCTATGGTCATGACCCAACATGTATTAGTTGAAGCCTAAAGCATTGATGAATTTAAAAAGACACCAATAGAACTACAAAAAGTAGTAGTAGTAATAATAACACCATATCAAGAAGCTCCATTGAACATACTGTTTGCTTAGCATCTTTAATTCCCTCAGAAGCGAATTCAACTTGGTCTAGATTGAATGTCTGATTGTAAAGCATATCACGTTGTCCTTCATACCTGTCCATAGGTTGCAAAACACGTTGCCAAAGATAATATATCAATTCCAATTTTGATGATTAAAATTTAGCCTAAAATTTACAATTTCTATACACCTAACTTGATGTTTTAATTTTAACAGTTAACAAAATTTGAAGCTCAAACAAATAAAAACCATATTCTTCCCATTAAAAAAAATCACACAGCAAAACCACATATTGGTTGATTCATTCACTCTCTCATCTGAATACTAAGCACAACACTTTCCAAACTATGCACACTATATTTCCCACTTCTCCATGCTGATACCCCACAGATTGGTACATTTCTTCCCCGTTTCTTCTTTTGCTTGGTCAACCTAAACCAAATCTGTTCAATGCAAACTGTGTCCTAACCAACTTTCTTTAATGGGTCTTATCAAATCCAATCCAATACAACCAACTCAGATCTAACTTGATCTGAAAAAACAGACTACAACCTGTCCATTAATGGTATTTAGTACAAGTGATGCTACTGTATAAGACTAAAGAACATAGTTAGCATACCATGATTTGTTAGTATATCAGGGTTTTAAAAAAATACATAAAGCAGATAACCTACGTTCTTTTTTGCTTGAGAACCCTCATGGCTCGAGCTTTGACAGCTTCTTGAGCCGGACCAGGTCGAGTTTTCTTGATCTGTTCCTCATATCTAGCAAGTTCAGCATCGAGTTTTTTGATCTTCTCATCAACTGTTTCACCTCTTTTGTTGAT